AGAAATCTGTTGTGTGAGACAAATGATTGTGAAGTGTGCATAACACCAACTTCATCCTTCAGGAGCGATTGGGCCATCACACACCAGCGCTACCGTCGGCATCATCAATGCGGATCACCGCTGGTGCACTGCTTCCTCGACTTGGGCAGAAGACCACGGCTGAATGCCCGCATGGTGTGTAAGTCACGCTTGTCGAGCCCCATCTCTAGCGCGAGCTGGCGGGTGCGGAGCGGCAGGAACTCATTCTCCGGCGACACCTCCCGCATCATAGCAGAGCACGTGAGACGGTGACCCTCCCACTGCCGCCATTCCACAGCCTTGCCGCAGTCCATGCAGAGGACGATCTGGTGCTTCTCCTGATGTGGAATAAGACGCTCCAGTGGAATCCGTGTGTTACACTCGCTGCACCACCGCACATGCCGAATGCATTTGTCCCAATGCGTGTAGAATTCTGCCGTTGGCACATATGACTTGCAGTTGCGGCACCACTGCTCTGCCGCGGTGGAAATGGGACGGTTGGTGATGCGTTGGTAGTAGATGCGCGTCGGCTCATGCACCATCCCATCGAGGCGAACAAAGGATTGTGTCCGATGCATGCTAAAGTCATCAAAGGAGCGCATACGTGCGAGTATGTTCCCAAGATCGTTAGTATCTGCAAGACGACTGCAGTCAATATGGACGTTGTACGTGTGCTTGTATCCAGTAATGTTCATTGGCGAGATGCAGTGACGCGGAAAGAGCGGAAACTGCTGCAACTCGTAGCGCACCTCTGGGTAGAATGAGTGGTAGACGCTGACGCGCATCCGCGGCACATCCACCGTGCGGTGCACCGATGGGAAGTGCACAACGAGTACGTGCTCCTTCACCTGCAACACCTCGCCAACGGTACCAGCAGGCACACCGAAGGAGGCAGGAGCGTCCAACAGGAGATGGACCGATGCCCCAACGTCGAGGTTGAGGGAATCGACTAGACAGAAGGACTGTGGTAAGGAGGACTGCAACATCATGTTAACAACGTAATTCCCAATCTCCGTGCGTTTAAGCGTGCGGAAGCGAGGCGGCAACACACGGATCGCCGGCTGCTTTGGAAACCGCGATGTAAACTTCACGATGGTTTCCACATTAGAAATCAAATCTTGTGGTGGAAGTGATGTGCTCCTTCCGCTGCTGCTGTGCCTGCCACTGCCATTGTCCGGCTTGAGGGAACTCGCCGCTGTTGTGTCTGCAGCGCCCACATCAACGTCGTCTGCATTTTCCCCGTCTTCGTCGTCGGCATCTTCCTGTGCTGTCGGCCTCCCTTTGGTCGATCGCACCTCTAGTTCCTCAATATCTTGCGACGTAAGCAGGCCGCAGTACGCCTTGTTAACAAGTGCCGTGAGCCGCCGGGCCTGGCCGTGTATCTTCTCCAGCAGACGCTGTCGAGGAAAGAGCTCGTCCCAGTTGTCTAGTTGGTAGATATAGCCCCCTGTGTCACTACCGGGGTGCACCGACAGGCGCCAGAAGTCTGCTGCAGCAAACACGCGGAGGCCACCGAACGCCTCATTAGGCCGCCCACGCAGCTGGCGGCAAACTGTGTCCATCGACAGAATGATGGTCGGTGCTATTTGATGAACGGCGTCGAGGATCAACACGTCGACCGTCCGCAAACTCGGCACGCAGCCGGCGTATGTCGCCTCGCACAGCCGCGCGTGTCGTTCCAACGTGCCGTCAAGCTGGTCGCGTGAGGGAAGCTCCTCACGGCCCATGTAGCGCAGTCCAAGAAAGTGGTACAGCAGCAGCCCTTCGAAGCGGCAGGCACGCTGTGCATCCGCCGACACATACGCCACCTTTTTCTGCTGCGTCTCGCAGGCCTCGCCAATAGCCTTGAGAATTGTCATCTTGCCTGTGTGGTAGGCACCGCAGAAAATCATATTCTGCGGTGACGCGAGGGCCTCCGCCACGTACCGCTGCGTCGCCGCAGCGTTCTTGTGCCGCAGCACATGGATGTCGCCTCTGAAGCCGTGTGTGTCGACCTCACGCACGAGGTGCCCAAAGCCACGCGCAGTGCGAGACAAGGGCAGTGAGAAGAGCGCCAGTGACCGGCGCACGCCATTGATGCGCGCCGTTGATGAAGTTGCTGCATGAAAGACGCCACGGGCAAGCGTACCGTTGGCGCAGTGACTACCGTTCCTGCGAATAGAAGCAGCGACGAACCGAGGGCGAAGCATACGCCCCGTAACGAATCGCTGATCTGCGGCGAAGAAGCCAAACAAAAAAAAAGAAAAACTTTTTTTGTTTGTTTGGCCACAAACNNNCCCCCCCCACCCCGAAAAAAAAAAAAGAAGAGGATAACATGAGGGAAAAACAAACGCAAGTTTGGAAGAGCAGGCGCTAACACATTGGGTGAAAGAAGAGGTTCTTTTTTTTTTTTGTTTGATGTCTTTGTTGTTGCATTGTTGAGTATGTAAAGAAATGAGCGAGAGAGGGAGGATAGGCGAACCATCCCTTTCCATCGCTACATTCTATCTTTTAAGATGCTATAAAAAGCGTGCACGAGCATGTCTGTGTGTGTGTGTGTGTGTGTGATTTGATTCGCATGTATGTATACTTCCCCACTCGCTCCTCCCCTCATCAATGGAGGATGGCTTATCAATCAATCAATCAATCAGGTGCTCGCGCCGCGGAAGCTCCACTTCATCTTCGTCGCTCACTGTAACGGTGTGCCGCTTCCGCTGGAACCAATACACAATTACTAGCTCTTTCCGTTCCGCTGTGAATGGGTCGGGGTCGGTGAACCCAACGAGTTTGCTCTTAGACCCCCTTGGCAAAACCAGCTTCGAGTCCTGCACAAAATTCTGAAGTGCGGCCGTCACGTCCAACACAACAATCGAGGAGACATCGCCGGCTCCTTCAGCAGCCGCACCTTCCGCCTGTGCCGAAGGTGCTGTCGTCGGCTCGGACTTCTTCGCCCACCAGCGCCGCCACCACGGCGCCTTCACCGCCGCGCTTCTTGGCTGCAGCTGCAGCGCCTCCGGGTAGCGGGGGTTCAGTACGCCGTACTTCGCGTTGATGATAACGAGGCCAGCGATACTTTCCTCCCGCAGGCGGTTTCGCATGACGCTGTGCTCCAACGCCCTCTGTTCATGTGCAGTCCGCATCCGCGCCACATCCATCTCTGGCTGGTGCCGCAGACGCTCCTGCCGGTAGCGCGCAACTATCCGCCCGCGCTGGAAGGGCCGCCATACGATCCGTGCAACACGATACAGTACGTATGGCGCTGCAGCCCACATCAGCGCCATCTGAAGCCTCTGCGAGGCGAACACTACAATGGGAATGCTAATGCGGCGCTCACCGCGCGCGTAGAGCAGTGAAATTTCCTGGATCGTCATGAATCCAGGGTGGCGGGCGTTGTACGTTGAAAAGTAACTTGACATCGGCGCCAAGGTAGAGAAGCCGATGCCAAAGTGCTGCCACTTGCTGAAAAAGTACCATGCCTCAATACCGTAACGAAGGTTCAACGTGGCACCCATCAACCCAAAGGTCGTGAGCACGCGTCCTTGTGCGGCGTCCTCCTTCTCCGCGTCACTATCACCGTACACAATGGGTCTCTCATCGTACATGTGAACGCCCAGATTGTTGTAGCCAATGAAGGTGTATATACCCCTCTTCACGCCATCCACACTGCCTCCAAAGATACCGGTCTTGAAGAGGCCGTGATCTCTTAGAGACATTACCCAGGAGTTTTGCAACGTGTACATAGACGATAGCCGCCGATCTAGGGATAATTCAAACTTCCTCAACAGATTCACACCGTCAAGGGCAACCAACTTTGTCTTGAGCGTCCACATCACGTTGAGTACACGTTTTCGAATAAAGGATATCTTTAGCCATTTCACAGACACGTTGCACGCGCAGGCGTACATGTTGATATCGTCAGGTTGGTACTCCATGATTGTCTTACAGCCTACCCGCGCTCGGTTCCCTTCTTGGGAGGCCGTCGTCTGAATCCACACCCCAAGCGTCGGCGTCACAACATGCTGGAACGAGTGCCTAAAGTTAATTCGCCTGGGCACTGCCGCCAGCATCGCCTTCTCCATGAGTGAGAGCTGCGCACGACCTGCAGGCGTTTTTCGTAGGTGACGACCCACAGAAGTGGCAACGGCAGAAGGAGAAGAAGGAGCAGCAGCATCATTAACGTTGTTGTTGCCCCCCGACGCCCTCACGATCTGTTCCCGAAGCTTTGCTTGCATCCCCTCATTAGGGACGAGCACAATCTGGTGGCGTCCGTCAATCTCAACCTCCTTCGCCACCATAACCTCTGACTTCAGCTGCGGCGTCGCAACATCAGCGCCAGTGCTCTCCCGCTCCGATGCCTCTGACACAGCATTGCTCGCTGCAGCCTGAGTCTCCTCATTCGAAGCCTCATTGGGAGGGCCCATGCCGGTGTCGTCCGCCTTTTCTTCTGAATGAGGTAGTGCAGGAACGGAGCTGACCACCCTGGGGAGGAAGAAGTGTGCAATGGAGTACGTCACTGTCATGCTTGATGTCGCCGAAAGCATCTTTGCCAATCCACGCAGTTCCGCTTCTCGCTCCAGCGTACTCAAGTAGTGCGCAATGTCCTCACGTCGGTTTACATTCTGAGGAATGAGGGCTAATCGGTTAACACCCTGCTCCCCACTTATATCATACGCCACGCGTTGCTTCTCGTCAGACAGCACCGTGTACGCCTCCTGGAGTTTCTGAAACCGCTCGTTCATCAACTGCTGTACATCCTCTGTGTCACCGCTGTGTTTGTCTGTGTGGTAGCTCTGACTCAGATGCAGGAAGGCCCGTCGAATTTGTGTTTGTGACGCATTCTGTGATACCCCGAGAGCCGCGTAGTACCCGCTCGGGTCCGGATCCTTCTTGGCGTCGTGGCCGCCAAAGTCCCGCAGGAGTATGTACTCACGCTCGTCTTCAGCGTCTGATGTCGCCATATTCCGTCTTTCCTGCGTACGCCTTTGTCGTTCCTTCAACCACTATCCGTACAAGACGTCCTTCCCGTTCCGCTCCCCTGGGATTATTATTCGATACCCTATACGTGATCCTCCGTGAAGGACGAAGAAAGCATGGAGAAATATAGAAACAAGAGCACACGACAACGACGGCAGCAGCGGCAGCAACAGCAAGGCAAAAAAGAAAGAAGGAACGTCATACAGTACAAGAGGGAACTGTCCACTCGGCCCAGTTGAACTCGGTATTTGTTCGGTAGACTCCTCACGAGATTCTGCAACAAGGAAATCCGAACAGGGAGAAGCAAGCAAACACGAATAAATTTTCTAAGAAAAAAAAAGGGGGAAGGCACCCATTCGAATGGGCACGAACTCAAGAAAATTGGAACGGCTGCGTGAGGAGGGCCAAATGGACAAGGAATTAAAATACATGACATATGAAAAGAGACCAAATGGCATCCCACCATCACCACGCATCCCATCTCCCCCTTCCCCACCCTCTAGTCCTTCTTCATTGTTATTTTCCTTGTTGCTTTCTTCTCGGTGCATCTGACTTCATTCGCTCGTGTGTCATGTCACTTCGCTAATCGCTGGGCAGCACTCGCCCACGGGCCCCACCAAGCGCAGTGGCATTCGCCATGGGCCCCGCCGCCGCCCCGTAGCCATGCAGGACGGCGTGCAGCGGACTAAAGCGCGAAGACCACTCCTTCTGCGCCACTTCGGCGCCTGAGGTGCCCCACAGTTCTCCCCACAGCTGCGGAGCGCCGCTGGCAGACGTGATCTTGATCAACACATCGAACCAGGCGTCGAATTTGTCACGCACCTCCGTGGCGAACACAATGGTGCGTTCCTCGGTCACGAAGAAGAGGCGGTAAAAAGTGCGCTGCGTCGCCTGATCGAACAGGCAATCCGGGCGAAGGTCCATTACGCGACTGAGCTTGAGCTGCGAGAAAAGCATTAGAGACGGACGAGGACCTGGGCCCCAAACCAGCGTACCGCGCTCTGCATCAAGCCAGACGTACCGCTCATGCACCTTCCCCTGCCGTGTCCACTTGAGAAACCAATCACCTCTCTGTAGCACCCCAAGTGCGGGGCCAGCAGCAAGATACACGGAAGATAGGCTTTGATGGCCCCCTGAGGAGTCTTCTGAGGCGCGTTGGCCGCAGATCCCACTCTCTGAGGCGCGTTGGTAACCTTTCCATACGTTCGAATCGTCCTGGTAAATAGAGAAACCAGGCGGCACACGATAATCCGGGGAGCAACAGAAGTTCTCAAAGGTTTGGCGGCGGAACGGATTTCTCTGTGTAAAAGCACTTTGCACAACAAACTGTTGCTTCTTTTGTTGTTGGTGTCGTTGTTGCTGTTGTTGACCTTCCGGCGGAGGGCTCATCGGTCGCCTCGTCGACTCTCCACTCTCTCTACCACTGCCATTACGCGTCGGTCTATCTTGCGGGGCGCTATCTTCCAGCCTTGTGCTCCGCAAGCTTGGCTGGCCAATACGGGCTGAGGGTTCACGAGAGTCTTGAGCAGAGTAAGCCACGCGCGGCCGCTGCGTGTCGCCGCTCAGGACGTTTTGTCGTGGCGCCCCGCTCGTCGACATGCTCGCACGATCCGCCTCCACGTCCACCACCATCATCGTGCCGGAGTTCGGGCCGCGCGAGCGTGGCGGCTGGGCCGGACCCGCCTGTTGGCGCGGTCCCTTTGTTTGCTCCCATCGCGAGGGTGGTGCTGACGGGAGAGCTGCCTCGTCTCTGCTTGCCGTGCTGCCGGAGGCAGACGATCGGGCGGCGAGCAGCACGACCGGCGAAGGCGGCAGCGGCGGCG